GGACTAAGGCGACAGGCTGTCAACGTCGACAAGGTAAGTCAGTGAGGCTAATATGGAAGAGAAGACACGGCTTGACGGATAATTATTAGCCTGGGTCCACAATGGACTCGGTAGACGGGGGTGACGAGGTTGACACAGGGACGACAGCTTCCACGGGAAAAGAGGACAATGACGGTTATGGGAGCACGCGTCAATTGTGACAAGTCAACTGTAACCAAGGAAGCGCGCGAGGAGAAGCCAGTCCGTGTGGTTAGACCAACTGGGGGAGGAAGAATCAGTTGTTGTGTGAGAGTCTGCGCCGCGGAAGTTTCTGGTGGCCGACAATTTAGGTGTAAGCAGTTCGACGTCAGGACTACCAGGGTGCGACTTTAGAGAAGCCAAAGAACGATGGGAAGGCGCAACGGCAGTGTGGGTAGTCCCAGTCTAAACCTTAGGTACAATGGACGCGTCGCGTCCTTGAATGGCGTTTGCCAATCGCCGAGGAAAGAACACTGGGCGACGTTCGCTTATGCCTTAGCCCGCCTGCTGCCCAGCAACAATATCAGACGAAACAAAAACTTGCTCGAGCCTCAAATACACTGTGGCTAGCTTTGCAGTACCATGAGCAGACTCCACGTATCCACCGAATCAAGCATCATATAAGGTGTTAAGTCCGCCCTCATGCCACCTAGACTTGTCTCACGATACAGGGGGAAATCTTTAGTTAACTCGTCCATATCCTTCATCCGCAGCCACCTGTCTCTCAATTAACGTCAATCTATCTGGGTTAGACACCCGATCAGACGTGAGGTGACTTGGATATCCGCCTTGAGCACTATGTTGAAAATTTCGGCATATAAGGCTTAATATTCGAAGATCACGGGTCTTGCTCGAGCATATTCAGTTGTACGACGGTTTCCAGGCTATAAGATTTTGAAGAAGCGCTTTGTGATGGCTGCTGCCTCAAGGATAATGGTACGGATTTCGAGAAGATTAATTGCCCTATTAGTATGCATAAAGCCGACCAAAAGGTACAGTCTAAACGGGATTAGTCAAAGAATCTTCGATGATTTCGTATAAAAGCTCCTCTTGTATGTCAACAGTAGTCAAGTATATTGGACGAAGAAACCACTTCCACCTCATAGTCTTATCCACGGCCAGGTATCACAGGAGGAGGCGCAATTCTCGTGTCAAAAACTCGTCGGTCGATAGCTCTGAAGTCGAATATTTTATCGAGCTCTGCCTTCACATTTAAAAGTTCCTCCATTGCCTTCTTGACCTTATCCGGCTGGCTGTCATCAAGAACGTTAAGCTTCACGTTCAAGACCCATTTCTGCGCCGGGTCTAACGGCCGTAGATCTGCAAAGGCTGGCAAACTTGCCACCGGTCCGCTTGGAGAATCTGGAAGGTGATAGTATCTGCTAAAGACGAACTCGACGTTATCCCTGACGAAGGAGCAGCTCTCTTGTATCACCTCATTCTTGTAACTACCACAATCCGTTAGTATCATCTCCAGCCCGTACTTGTCCAATGTAGAGAATAGTCTCACCGGAAGCCGTTGTCGTCCAGCGCCATCGGCAGCTGTGTCTGATCTGGAATCTCGATCTTCTTCCTCGAAGTAACAGGCGTGTCCCGTAGAGGGTCCGGCAAATCTATCCACCGCAGGGTACCAGGCAGCGCGTTGAATTCCATGGTGTTTTCTTTCCCAAAGTCCCTGTCCGGGACGACTTCATACGCTATCTGGAGAACATATGATGACCGAGCCAGCTGGTTGCTCAGCTCTTTCCAGAGCGGCACGAACCGAGATGTCTGGAAGGCGCGCGTGTTCTTGAGAGGTCTTGGCTGCGGCTGGCCATGGAAGAACAATATGCGGTGGATTGACTGGCGTGCTGTCATCCACGTCAGGCCTTGTAGTACCGCACATGCCATCTGGAAGTCGGAGTCCCTGACGGACGCAGTCAGGAACAGCTCCCGCATTCTGGTGTAAGTTTGACTGCGATTCTATAGGTACTGATGTGGTAGTCGAGTGGGTGTACGCTTGAGCAAGAAATCAAGTATGCGACACGTATTTCCTCCCGAGGACTGACGCCTTTCAAGAATACATATATAGCTCTATTGAACGCCAATAAGGATGAGATGAAGGAGAAGGTTTGATGTAAAGAAGTGGAAGCGCGACGAGACGCTAACGATGGAGGTTGAGTTGCCGTGGGCCCCACACGCACCTAATGACGGGATGGTAGGGCTGAGAGTACCCCACTTAACCCACTACGAGTCGCACCCTGGCAGCCCTGACCAATGTTGTACAGCTGTACCTGTGTAGTGCCAGTCTTCCCCTGAAACATTTCTTACCAACGCCGAATTAGGGCGCCAACAATCTTCTTTCAGACTACCTACACTTTTCACTCTATCCGATTCTAAACCAGCTCGCTCAACATCCGCAGAAAGGTGTACTTATAGATCGCTCAGAAAGAGAGCAGTCCAATTCGTGACAAGGACAGGCCAGACTAGATACAATGTCATCCTGGTTCCAATGGACCACGCCTCGACGTGCGCACCTCACCACACAGCATTCATCTCAACACACTAAGTGAGCGGTTCGGGCCTGAACTCAGCATACTGGCCCGCCGCATCCACTACCGCGCTCTCAAAGCTCCTAAACTTCCGACCCAGCAGCTTCTCCGCCGCGCTCGAGTCGTAGTCAACAGGCAACGTGCGCACCCGACCCCTCTTAAAAACGCCCTGCGCAACCTGTTCCGGGAACGCCTTCTCGACAACGTCAAATACGGCGTCGTAGTCCACCTTGGTCGTGACGCCAAAGTCTTTCGTCTCCCCCTCCTGGGGGTCCAGGAACAGCACGCGCAGATGGACCTCCGCGACGTCGTCTATGTGCGCGTAGACGCCGTGGATCGGAGCCGGCGCCTCCCGGCCTAGCACCCCCATCATCAGAAAGTTGTTGGAGCTGTTGCGCGTCGCGACCGCGGCGGCGTCGAGCGCGAGCTCGTTGCGGCCGAACACGTACCCGGGCATCACGTGGGAGATGGTGAAATGCGGGCTTCGCTTCTCAGCGAACTCGTCCGCCTCCTTTACGGCGAGCATCTTGGCCATCACGTAGGCCACGAAAACGTTGTCGAAGGAAGTGGGCATGGGGCTGGGGAGCGGCAAGCGTGTCGAGGCGGACACGGTGTGCTCGGGTGCCATTATGCCGGTGTTAGCCACGATGGACGATGTGATGACGATACGCTGTATGCTCGGTGTCTTGAGCGCGGAGGATAGCAGCTCCTCTTGCATCTTCAGTGTCGGCTGGAAGACGTCTGTATTGGGATCAAACGTCGGCATGGGCACGGGCGAGCCGGTGTGCACGATGTGTGTGACGCCTTGCAGGGCAGCGTCAAAGACCCCCTCGGCAGTGAAATGAGGGGCGATGAATGGAGAGAGGCGATCTCCTGGTGCGAGGTCTTGGATCCGAGGGTTCGAGGAGATTTGCCTTGCTTTCTCTTCCGATCGCACCGCATAGCGCACATTGTGGCCAGCGGCGAGGGCGTCGAGAAGAATGCGGAAGCCGATCAGGCCAGTGGCCCCTGTGAGGAAGATTGTTGCAGTCATTGTGTTCGACTTCCACCAAACCTGGGTGTAGTGTTCAGACACCAGGTAAAGGGCCACCTCAAAAGCCTGTGGAAGTTTCCTGTATAAATACCTCGAAAATGCGCCCGGCGCAGGGGCCTTCAGCTCTTCAGCAAGGTCTATACTCGTAAGCTTACCAACATCGCAATTGATCGGTTCTTCAGCGGCAAGTTCGCACGTAGGTAAGATCTAAAGATGCGTGTTGGAGCGCAGCTACAACCAGTCTGGCGATTGGTAAGTCATTAGCGCAGCAGCAGGCTGTGCCGCAAGCTAAGAAATCCGATTTATCCCTTTAACAGTTCTCACTCATGAATATTCTATTCTATTTTCATAGTGTTAGCTAAGCCCAGATTGTCATTGTTAAGCTTATACGGAGCAGTTAGAACCAGAAGAAAGAGGCTGTAACCAACTAAGTCGCCAGGGGACGTGAGTGGATGCTGACTCCACGCTAATTGTGTCACGAAAGGTTGAAATGCTCCTCGAATATAAGAGAAGCTACGCGGCCGTGCTTTTCTCTTCTCTACGCCGAGTCTCGCCAAGTCTCCTAGAACTCTTTATTAGTTATTTTCCAGCCTTGACCGCTTTATCCCTAACACAGAATCACGACTAAGGGGGCTTCTACATCGGTGAATAATTGAAATAGGCTTATTTCAGGCGAATTCCATTTTAAGCCTGTACGATGCCTGCTTACTTCTAACGTACTGCGCTGGTCTTTAGGGAAGCCGTCACACATATAAGGCGTTACTTGCTTGCTGCAAATAGCGACATCGCTATTTGCAACAGAAGCTGATAGTAATCGAGAGACTGAGCATTCCTCAACAGCGTTAGTCGTCCTTTCCCGCTTAGATACGACGCCTATAGATAGCCTGCTCAAGCAAGTTGCCACATTCCGAATATAAAAGGCCAGTACGTAGGTAACCCTCTGCTGTCTTTTAAGGTACCTCTAGCTCTTATGGCATCCTAGTGTCAAAAACGAATGAAATGAGCTTCGAGCTACAGGAGAGAGGAGAGAGGAGAGAGGAGAGAGGAAAGAGCAACTGCATGTCCTCTATAGAGGCACCTTGTGATTGTTTCGAATAGGCTTCAGGACTACTCTGTTCCAGACACAGCACACATTATACCCGAAAGGCCATGACACGAGACGAGTTGGCAGTTCGCAAAATTAATAAGCCCTCGGAGAATAGGCGTAGCAAGATGTGACTCTAAGCACAAATGAGACAGTATCACTTTCGCTGACCTTAGAGTGAAAGCTAAAGCAAGACTGCAAAATAGTAACCGAGAAAAGGCAACTACCTAGTAAGCTCCCTCAGTGTGAACAAACCTTAATCCCTACCAACCAAACCGAGCATGCACGATAACAAAATACAGACAAGTAAACAAAAAGCACAAACAACACAGTACTCTCGATCGGGGAATCGAACCCCGGCCACCTGCGCATCGAACCTCCGACGGGATTAACCACCGAAACGGATGACAAGCAGGTATCCTGACCACTAGACCAATCGAGACTTCGCTCAGCAGCACGATGCATTTCTCGTGCGGTGGAGCTTGCGATGAAAATTTGTATGAGCTAGAGTCGCATATAAGGTACCTAATTAACGCCTGCGCTCGGCCCGTCTGGATACCGGTGTTGTGGGCTGCCGTGCTTTAGTCGGGTGGGTGGGACGTCGTGGAAGTGGGTAGAGCGATCAAACAGAAAAGATAATCCCTCATACAACGGCAGTTTTTGATTCGAATTCGAACCTTTGTTGGGCCACTTAGATCCCTAGGTTTCGGCTGGCATCCGAACTTTCGGAACTGTATTAGGCAGCGACCCAAAGTGACAGAGGTCCCCAGGCAAGAGGGAACGCTGGCTAAAGAGATTAAGCGACACAGGGAAGAGAGAGTCGCTAGAATTGACTTGGTCACAAAAGGTTGACAACTAGGTCCTAGACGGTCTCGGTCCACATGTCCGTAAGGAACTGACCAATCTCAGTGATCTCGGAGGTTAGAAAGGACAAAGGACCATTCTTTCTATAATCGGATAATTTAACTGCACATATCTCGATGAAGACATCGTCGTTGAAAAATATTAGATATATCCAATTCTAATGAGGATGATTTAGTGAACCAGCAGGCGTCGTAAGTCTATATCATCCTCGTCTTACACGTCAGACTCGTCTGCCCGTGTCCAATGCACTACCCAATGCATCCCCAACCCCGAATTACTCAGCTTCTATACAAAACCCCTTTTTATTTGTTAGCAGCAAAACATGTGCTTCGAATCTCATATACATATATATATATATATATATGGTAGATATGTTAGATTAGAATACGCGACCCTTGACCTGCTTCAAGTTTGTCACCTTGATGTCCCTCCACACAACGGTGGCCACCAGACCAAGCCCAGTAATGGCCGTAGCAGCAACGAACATCCATCTCAGGCCATCCCCGTATGCTTGAATGATGGCGTTTCTGGTCGGGGAACCCCAGGGGTATGAGAGTTGAACGGGAAGCTGCGAGTAGATTTCGGTAAGGTTGGCCTGGGACTCTGGGGGAAGATACTTGGCCAAAGCCTGGGGGAAGGTTCCAGTCCAGATGGCCGCGGAGATGGTTCCTCCGATGGCACCGCCCACACTGCTGAACATTCCTTCCATGGCAAGGACGACGGCAACGTGCTGATGGGCAGCCGCAGCCATGACAGCGATCTGCTCGGCTATAACGCAAGCGCCGCCAGCGAAGGCGTAGAGGATTTCACACATGATAATATAGCCAAGGTGAGTACCGGGCTGTCGGAAGTGGATGAGCAGGCCGATGCTCAGGATAGTGACTGGCACACCAAAGTACAAAGCAACCCACTTGAACCGACCAGTGTAACGGATCGCAAAGCCCACGATGAAGGAGAAAAAGCAGGACCCAAGGCTGTAGATATTGTTGATGTAACCAGTCTGGGTCACGTTAAGGTTGAGAACGACCTGGAGGAATGACGAGAAGTAGGCAGTCCAGATGTAGTATTCGACGAAGAGGACGGCGGAGAGAATACAGGCTCCGAGGACAGTACGGTCCTTTAGAAGCTCCCATGGCATGAACTTGACCGGCGCAAAGAATCTCTCCCAGACGACAGCTCCAATAAGGAGCAGGCCACCGAAAATGATTAGGCAGATGGTCAAGGGGTCTCTCCAACCGTAGTACTGGTAGGAGTAGATGTTGAAAGGAAGCAGGAAGAGCGCAAACCCGCCGGAGACCATGACGAGGCAGATGACGTCGAACTGCCAGAAATAGTACTTGAAGCTCTGCCAGAAGGTTCGGCCACTCGGGGTATACACGATCAACCCGGCTTTCTTCGCCTTGTGATAATTCCAGGTGAACAGGAAGAATAAAGGCAGGCACATGATCGGCGTAATGATGGAGAAGATGCCGAATCCCCATCTCCAGCCGACGCCGTAAAGAACGCTCTGAGCCATCGGGCTAGTAATCCAGACGGTAATGATATAGGGCGACGAGATGAAGGCCAGCATTAGACCTCGGTTCTTCAAGTGCGAGGTATCGGCGATGAAAACTGATAAGGAGTAGCTGATTCCATTGTATCTGGAAAGAGTCAGAATGTGACCGATCAAAACCGTCCGGAATTCCAGTGCTTACCCGACCCAGTAGAAGACTTGTGCAGCTGCATAAGTTTCAACGTTGTTACACGCCGCCATCATAACAAGACCAACAGTCATTAGGAGAACGACGAATAAGAAACCCTGGGGTCGACCCCAGATATCGAGAATTTTGGCAAGAGTGAGCTTCGAAACACCACCAAAGATGCCGGACATGACGCCCGTGGTGGCAGTCAGCGAGTGAAGGGCGAACGCGCTGGTAACGTATGGAGTCAAAAGAGAGCTCATTCCCTGTTGCATAGAGTCGACGAAGTAGATGATCCAGATGCTATAGCTTGTTAGTACACGGATTCTCTGGGTATCACGAATAGGTCGATTAGTAGTGACTTACAAGGCATAGGCCATTATCAGGTGGGACTTGGACCATACTTTGGTTGTGGCCTCGATCTTCTGAACACCAGCTTGAGCATTGTGGTCGATGGAATCGGGATCGGAGTCGGTTTCGCTGTTGCGAGGCTGATTATCGACAACCCCGGTCTCCTTGTCGGCTTCGTCGCGTGGTTTCTCTTCCACCGGCACCTCGGTAGGGTGGGTGAATCGACCGAGCGGTCCTCTCATTTTGGGTTGTGACTTGAGCAATAGTCTATCGGTCAAGTAGAAAACGAGATGGATGCTGCGCGGTTCGCGTCGACCGACTGACCTTGAGAGGATTCAGTCCTGGCTAGCTATTTGAATAATTGCAGGACACGCCTGAGTTCTTAGAATTGTATACTTATATGTATACAATTATGTCCGATATCCTCGGCCGAGAACTGTAGGGTTGAAGGCTGGGTGAAGAAGGGGAAGATAATCTCAGGTGGTCTAGTCCGGCCTTTTATTCAAGACATAATGGCTGGAAGTACCCATACTAAAACGGAGAAAGGTAGGGTGGGAAAGGTATAACCTGACTTCAATGGTCTCTCGGTCTGGCCCTGAAGTGTGCTAGAGTAGCTAAAATAGTGGGGTCGCACCACAACCGGAGTGGAGGGAGCTCCTGCTGGCGGGAAGATAATCTAAGTACATGTACTGGGTAGCGAGGTAGCGATTAAAAAAGTCAGCATTGATTAAGCTACGATTATCCCAAGAAAGGGAACACTGGTCCTGTATAGGCAGATACTACTTCGAAGCTAATAAGATCATGCTTGAAATCTTCGCGATCCACCGTCTCCTGCTTCAGTTTGAAATAGACAATTACGTAAAACCATCCCATGAAGTGCCTGCCATATGCCTGTACATGAGCTGAGAAGTGAATCCTGAAGAAGGTGCGGTTGCGTGAGTTGGCCGTTAGCCGTAAAAATTCAGCTCCAAACGGGGAAGGTTCTTCGGGCATTCCAGGTACACTAGTGGCCCACACCCAAGGGACTTTGCGAAGGGCTAGGCCGGATTAGGTGCACTAGCCGATCAGATATGCAAAGCAAACCGACGCTACGAAAATTATCTTATCAATCAGTCTCCATCAGCCGAGGATCGAAGCGTGACCAAAACCCAAACCAACTAATAAAACGACTAACAAGGGGGATCACATCCTCGATCTCGCTCGCCAATTCCAATAGTCCGGACAGAATTACGTCGAGACCGCGGCGGGTGGAGATATGAGAGCAGTTTTTCGACGTTAAAAATAGGTTTAGTTCTGCGCGACTTTCGTACGACTTCGAGAGGAACGACTAGATGTGCTGGATCTTGTAGCGAGAAGCGAGACATGCGACTGGCCAGACCGAGAACATCAAGTGCGAGCTGAACCCAGCTCATGACATCAAGAAGCCTCAAGTCTGGCTACACCAAGATCCCGTTGGCGATCACCGATCAGTATAGGCATAGGCCATCTGATATCGATACAGACTATAGTGCAAACTCGCAGTAGATGGCCCATTATAAATTTTGACTGACGACAAGCTGCCATTTAGCAAAACTTGGCATCCAGACCAGTCTCTCCTCTAAGGTCGCAAAAGTTGGCAATTGAATCGTTCGATTTCGAGAGGCTCAACCCTAAGCCGTCTTAGTTTGAAAGGCCGCTACTATTCCTGAGCGAACCAACGGGCGGTAGACTTCCCACAAGGGACACGCCGATGTCGCGGCCAGAATCTCGGGGCAATCGATTTCGTGTAGGAAGGCTTGACAAGGTTCCTTCCCTGTCTCTACTTTGTCATTCGTGCCGCAGGGAACGCAACACATGGGGATTACGTGTACCACATCGCGTGCCAATCAAAAAGCATGTACTTAGCAGGCCTAAGAGACGGGTATGCGATGCACATGCAAGGCCTTCACATCACCCCCTTCTCATCTCCAGTGGTGTGGACCGTGAATAGAATTATCAGATGCTGTGCAGGATTCTGGTTGGGCAGCTTGCGATGCGAGCCGGCCGTAAAGAAAAATAAGCCTCGAGAGACAATCGTCCCAGTGGAACTGTTCCAGATTAGGTTAGCCTTTAGGTTAGACTCCGTACACAGACGCGTTCCGCTGCATTTTAATCCAATTCCAGCCCACCTAGCACGTGATCATCCATTTTACGTTAGATCCAGCTTTTTTCCTTTTTCGTCCCGTAACGAAATTCTTCAGAAGGCCCACGCCACGTCCGAACTGACGGCATCAATCTACGACCGGATACCGCACTTGGTTCTCGAAGATGTCGGCGGCTCAGAAGCCAATTCGCCTGCCTCCCTTGAAGTCCCTCCGAGTTCGCAACCCGAACGGACAGCGGGAGCGCCCTTGCATGGCTATCATGTCTTCCGTCCTTGGTACGCGGCAAACCACACCCTACCTATCTCCCACATCATCTACAATGACGATCGATGTCATGACGTCTTGATGCTTCGTACATGAACTAATCCTTGGTCTTCAATAGCGTGTTGGGCATCGGCGGGATACAGCACGGCAGGATGTGCGCA